GATATTCAAAAATTTTTAGTTCATTATATCCAGAATTCGTTATAGAGAGGTTCGTTATAAAGAGAGTTGACTGTATACATAAATATTTTCGCTTCTTTTATTTAAATAAACAAAAATAAACAAAAAAAGTACTAGAATATGTAAATAAATAAATATTCGAAAGATTTCGATTTTTTATTTTTTTTAAAGAAAAAATATTTCGAAAGTTGGATTTTTTTTTTTTTTAAAAAAAAAAAGAAAAAATTTTTTGAAATTTCGATTTTTTTTTTTAAAGAAATTAGAGACAGATTTCATACGACCAATCACAACTGGTGGGAAAAATTAGGGCTCCCCAAGAATCCAGTACAACGCTAAGTGTGTAACATATCGTGTATCACCAATTCAAACAAATTTCGAGTAAAAAAAAATATATATATAAGTTTATATTTTTAAGTAGTTTCGTACTTGTCTTAAAATACGTATTTATAAAATGATATACAAAGCCGTTATTCTTGTCGGTGGGCCTTCTCGTGGTACGCGTTTTCGGCCACTTTCTTTGAATGTACCGAAGCCATTATTTCCAATTGCCGGTCATCCAATCATTTGGCACCACTTGGATGCCTTATCTAAGGTTGAAGGGTTGAAAGAAGTACTGTTAATTGGATTTTATGAAGATGCAGTTTTTCAAAGGTTTATAGACGATGCAGCTAGGGATTTCCCTCAGATTTATGTTCGGTATGTTCCATTGGAATGCATATTAAAATTTATCTACTTGTAAGCCTAAGTTTATTTTTTTGGTCGTTTTATGTAGCTATTTACGCGAATATCAGTCTTTGGGAACAGCTGGAGGTTTATATCATTTTCGGGATGAAATTCAAAGAAATGACCCGCGGCAAATATTCGTTCTTAATGCTGATGTAGCGTGTAGTTTCCCATTAAACGACATGATTAAATTTCATAATACACATAGAGGATTATGTACAATATTAGGGACAAAGGTAGAGTTTTGATTATTAAAATCTTGTAATTATTTTGCAATTATATTAATTTAATTGATTTAGGTTTCTCGTGAAGTTGCTAATAGATTTGGATGTCTAGTTGAGAGACCAGAAAATCATGAAGTGTTGCATTATGTAGAAAAACCTGAAAGTTTTATATCAAACTTGATTAGTTGTGGTATTTATTTGTTCGATTGTGCTATTTTTGGTGAAATGAAAAAAGCAATGCAAAATAAGGCCAATCGAGTCGAGTATCCTTTATTTTTTTTTTTCAAGCACACGAAATATAAAGAATATTTGAATTTCATCCTTAATAAAATTTTTAAATTTGGTCGATTAATAGTCGAGATCAATTTCAGGTGCAAGATGAAAGGCTTCGTTTGGAACAGGATATACTCCGACCTTTAACAGAATCAAGCAAATTATTTGTATTTGAAACGACTGATACGACTGATACTTGGATTCAAATTAAAACTCCAAGGTATTCAAAGTTGTCTAAATAGTTCTTATTTAAAATAAAGTTCATATTTAAAAGTCATTTGATACTAATTATATTATGATTTTTTTTTATATAGTTCAGCTGTTCCTGCAAATGCATTATATCTTGAACAGTATCAAAAAACCAATCCAGATCGATTATTAAAAAATGTACCGGGTGGCCCTACGGTAGTCGGGCTTGTCTATAAACATCCCACGGCAACTATTGATCCTAGTGCTAAGGTTTGTGAATTGATTTGTGGGTCATATTTTTAAGTATTAATTTAATTAAAGAGATTTATTTATTAGATTGGACCAAATGTAACTATTGGACATCGTGCTATAATTGGAAAGGGTGTTCGCATCAAGGATTCTATTATCTTGGATAATGCAGAAATTAAAAACAATAGTTGTGTCTTGTACAGCATTATTGGGTGGGATTCAAAGATTGGAAACTGGTCTCGCGTTGAGGGCACACCAACAACGGATCATGCAACAACTGTCACACAGAACGGTATTAAAATCCAATCAATTTCTATTCTTGGTATGGATTCACAATTCATTTTGGTTTTTTAATAGTTTATTATATTATTAAATATACTAAATATTCTTTACGTACAGCCAAAGAAGTTACTGTTAAAGACGAAATTATTATTCGTAACTGTATTGTACTACCAAACAAGGAGTTAAAAACAAGTTGTCATAATGAAGTTTTAATGTAATAAATTTCAGTTTTTTTTTTTTTTGAATTGGTTAATTTTGTAGGGGCAATTATGTCTGGATTTTTGAATTTTAATAGGATCTTATAGAGTATTTGTATAATTATTTGATTTATATTTCTAATTGTTTGTTTTTTTTTAATCGATTTTGTAAACATGTTCTTATTAACAAAAGCTATTTAAATAATTTTGGTAAAATAATAAATTTAAGCTTTCTATTTGTTTTCGTGTGTTTTAATAAAAAAATTTTTTGTTAAATTCAGTATATTATTTAAATTAAATTAAAATAGTATTTTGTTATAATTTATTTTATTTTAGAAAAATTTAATTAATACGAATGAATATTATATTCTAGCATAACAATTAATTTTTAATCTAATATTATTTTATATTATCATTATTAAGTAAATTTCATTCATTACTTTCATTACTTTTAAAAAACATACACTTTTTTTTCAATCTATGAATATTATAAAATTGATCTTTAATGGGAAACAATAGAACGTTTAATTTCGGAGTAATGACTAAACAAGTATTTGTTGGAATTGTTAACCAGTCTGCTCTTTCAAAAGTTAACGGTTCTAAAATAATAATTATAATAAAAATTAAAATATAAATTTAATTGATTATTGTGTGTCAGAACGATGTTTTGCATAGAATTTTATATTAGTATAATACCTGATGCAACAAGAACAATATCTTCGCGTTTATCAGCCTTCATCTATGTAAAATAATAAATTATAATTAAATAATTAAATAAGTTATATATGATAATATTACTATTAAAAAAACTAAAAAGATTATTTCTCGTGAATTACCATTCTGTAATGTCCAGGTTTATACTCTGTAAATGTTGTTCCTGATAATTAAATGGAATATCAATTATAAATATATATATACTATATAATGAAATTTAAAAATTAAATATATTTATTAAAATATGTACCAGAAGAAAAATATAAAGAAGCAGCTTCCTTAGTTCTACTATTAATATATCTGGTACATATTACTGAATGGCCATCAGTTACGGCGAAGTTTAATAAGGAAGGCTAAAATTATATTTAAAAGAAAAATAAATAAATCAAGTTGACATATAATAGTCAACATTGCGGTATCAGACAGACTATTAAGATATATACCTCATTAATTCCAGCCTCTTCAGCCCAATTATTTAATTGTTCAATAGTTTTTAACATAGCAGTTTTTAAAGTTTCATGATCAAATTGACCATTGATTGGATCTTCAAGCTTAAATAGATCAATAAAATATTAAGAAAATAAACAAGATGTTAATATTAATTAAAAAAATTTTTATAAGATTTACTTGATTAAGAAATAAAGCAAAAGCCCATTCTGAATCAGTATTTCCTTGAACGAATAAAAATAATTCATCTCTTAAAGATAGTTGTAATTTTCTTTTAATCTACATAGCCAAAATTAAAAATTTATAAAATTTAAATACGTATAACTATCATGAAATGCAATATTAAATAAATAATATATAATAAAGTTAATAAAAATAAAACCTTATTAAAATTAGCAATATGTCCATTATGCATCCACATTAAACGGCCAAATCTCCATGGATGACCTAATATAATTATTTTAAATAATAAATTACTGTATATATCTAAAAAATTTTATAAATTTAAAACAAGATTTACTAATACTATAATTAAACTTACAATTAGTTTCAGATAAAGCACCAGTTGTGGAAGCTCTAACATGAGCAAATACCAAAGAACTTTGAATTTCTTCAGCAAGTCTTGATAAATTTTGATTATTCCAAGCAGGAGTAATTGAAGTAAATATACATGGTGTTGATGTCATATCAGGATTTGATTGGTACCACCCTAAATATAAACAAATAAATATTTGTAAGTAACAGTAATGTATTAGGCTAAAATTTAATTATTGAACTAAAAAAAAAAAATACTAAATATAAAAATATTAACTAATATCTATATATATATATCTAATACTACTGTATATCTAATACTATATATATATATAGTATCTACAGTAATACTATATCTAATATTTATAATTTTTAAATAAAACTATCTTAACAACATTTATTAAAAATTTTATAAATATATATATATATTCAATTATTTGATATAAAAACAAATTTTTTTTTTACCAATTTGATTAATTTGTAGTTGTTAAGATACCTTTACTCAAAAATTTAAAAACGTCTACGTATCAAAATAGAAGCTGCATTAAAATGAATTGAACATATAGTATTGAACTATACATACTGTACGTTCAAACATTATGTTTATGCCTAGTCCAATGATATAAAAATATTTCTAAGAACTGTCGTTTATATAATGAATGAATGAATGTATCAATATACCTACTCCAAATCCATCACCTATAGTTAATAATAATATTTTATATATATTAATATATATATTTATATAAAAGACTAACTAATACGTATAAATTATTTGACCATTTTAAATGCCATATATACCATTAACTGGGAGTGTATCCAATCTCAATCTTGAATCAAATGATTGATTTATAATTGAATGGGCTGGACGTGTAAGAAGCTGCATATACGTATTTAAATATATTAAAATAAATAAATATATAAAAAATATATATCAGATATACATATATATATAGGATGTAAGTATAAATGAAACTTTATACTTATACGTATCGATTAAGCAAAAATGAAATTAAAAATAAGTAAATAAAAAAATTTTTTTACGTGAGCAAGTTTAATCGAAGCTTTCCCTTTATACAATAAAAACCTGCACATTTTCTTAAAAAGAGAATGGGGCTTGAAAAAAATATCGTAAGGCATAAAATTTAAAATAAATTTTATAATCGGTTATTGTTACGCAGATTACGTAGTAATTGATTGGTTCTCATTGTCGTACGATATAGAACGGATATGAGAGATGAGTTTTTTTAAGTAAGGATTTCAGCATAAAAATGTTTGTTTTATATGCGTGTTTTATCCGATAAGCTTTACATCTGACATTAAAAAAAAAACTTGAGCGCTATGGCGTAAAAAGGATTCTTATCAAAAAGAGTAATAAACAAATTTTAATTTTTGATACTTATTGTGAAAAATTTTTAATATTGTTGATAATGATATTGTTCTCTTACAGTCTTTATAAGCAGAGATTTATTTAGTTAAATAATAGAAGGTTGATATTTATTGTTTATTTATATGGCATGCGGGTTATTATTTTTATGTGATAAACTTTTTACAACGGTGAAATTGTAGATATATCACTTATAATAGTTATAGATAGTTATATATAGACAGTTATAGACAGTTATAGATAGTTATAGATAGTTATAGATAGTTATAGATAGTTATAGATAGTTTAGTTATAGAGATGTGATAAAAGAATCTATATATCTTTATAACGATAACTGATAATTGATAATACTTACGTACTTGTACGTACGTACGTGCGTAGTAATTTTATAAATAAAAATAATAAAAAAATAATAACTATTATTATAATGAAAATGAAAATTTTCTTTATTACCGAATAATGGACAACAAAAATAACACACGACATATAATTTGGACCGAATAATCAACCAATCCAGAAGAGTAATTAAAGTAAGACGATGCAAACAAAATTATATAATTATCTTTTTTG